GGGATCGCAACCCTCGGTGTTGCGCCCGCACCGCGCTCAGCCAGTGAGCGGGAACCGGTCTCCACATGGGATCTGAACCCTCGGCGGGAGCGCCGCCGCGCTCCCAAGCAGCGCACTCTCCAGTGTGCCACTGGGCCGGCCCTCACCCTAATTTTCTGATATGCACACTTTGGGAGTAAAGTTCCAAATCCATTTAACTCTTCAGCAGATTAAGCGTGGTCTAAGTGCTACGCATTGCACTAAGATATGGGGCGAATAAGACAGTCTTCTCTTTCTAAAGGTATCCCTTTCTTAGAACTCATGCATTAAAATACATAGAGGGCCCTGAACATTTTAAATATAGTAATAGTAGACCACAGAGCTACCTAGGACAAGATCATGATGCTCAAAAAATGCAAATGCATAACAGATTGTATTGTTGGGGTGGAACCAAATCTAGCCGCTGTCAGGATTTCTTGGATGAGAAAAGCATAAAAGAGAACAACTCTGGGCAGCAATAAAGGATTTAAAGAAGAGCAGAGTGACTAGAAGAGCTAGAAGCGGCTGGAGAGGGGAGACCAGAGAAACTTATGATCAAGAAGGAAATCCAAGTTTTCCTAATGAGGGGAGGATAGAAAAACAGATGAAAAAAATACATCTGATGACAAAGGCAGAAGTGTAGAGTCAGCCCCAACTCATCAAGTAAGGAAGCTGTTGAGAGAGCTAAGACCAAAAGGGGAAGGACCTGAGGTCCATTCAAAAAATAATTTTCTTTCTCTAGCATCGAAAGAGGGATAGAACTAAGAGAATGATGATACTGTGGAGAAAGAAATCATGACAGACCAGGCCAAAACCCACAAATGCAAGCATCAGGGTCTTTGGATTAGAATGATATCAGGGAATGCCTTAAGGGATAAATATTTCAAGCCTTTCTTTGCTGTTTAATTTGTATTCATAAATCTCATTCTGCTGCTGTACTGCCTGTGAATGGGTTTATGTTTTGGATTGCACTGGACATTCTTGGAAGGGGTCCTGCTGAAAATGTAGGAAAAAGTCTAGAGTAGGGGATGAAGATATTATAATCTATACTCTGGTCAAGTGTGGGATAAGAGAAACTTAAGTTGGGATCTAGAAAACAGAGAAAGATAGAATCAGACTAAGGAGAGGTAGGGAAAGCCTATTCTCTTCCTACATGTTTAAATGGGATGTGGGATTTCATACATAGCCAAAGGCCATCATCAGTCTTTAAGAAAGACAATGCAAGTGGGTACCTAGCAAAAGACCAGCTCTATGCTTTGGCACTCTCCATATGGATTCATAGCTACATGATATTATTCTTTGTGACCTCCCTTCCCAGTTTTAATTTATGCTGAAAGAAGACAGAAAAAGTTAAATTCAGGAAATAGGAGAGAGAAGTGATGATATATTCAGTTTCCACCCTTAGCAGGCTCTTCCTTGTGTAAAATAATTAGAGAAGCTAGGAAGATTAATAAGAAAAATGTTTTTTTTTTTTTTTTGTCTTTTGTCTTTTTCCGTGTCCGGCAACAGATCGCAACCCTC